AACATTGTTCCACCTCCTACTTTGGCGAGTAGCGACTGGGATCTTAAAAGCTAGCAAGCTGCCATCTAGATGCAACGATGGGTCTCTCCTCATCCAGAGAAAAGAAGAATGAAGAAAACCAAAGATTCATGGAAAGAATTAGTCCTAGCGACTAGTGCACCATGAAATCCACAGCCTATACAACTATGAGACCAGAAGAAGTAGTTGGTGCCCGGCTATCACTGTCAACCACTCGAAGGGGAATCTATGTAGGAGATCCTGGATAGAGAGGGAGAACAATGTGGGACAAAACTCAAAATCATTTGGGGAAAAAATAAAAGGGGGTGACCAAGTTTGCTGGTCTGATAGAGCCTGGTGGAACCCCTGAGACTATGGCCCCTAGCTGCTCTTCAGATCTGGAATTGAACCCACACCTGTGACTTCCAGCCAATCAAAAGACAGGCATATGAATTGAACATTTACCTGAGGTAGATACATTCCTTGGCTAGAACAATCTTGGGAGAAAGAAGGGCTGTTTATGCACAGGGAGACAGCTCAGGGGGCAGGAGTGCATGGAGGGATGGACACTGCGAAGAGGTAACTATGGAGAGGAGGTGGGAGGGGAGCTGTTGTATTGGGGTAAATTGTAGTCAATGTCATGAGACAAAGTGTATGTGAACTGTTGTATGGAAAGTGAATTTGCTCTGTAAATTTTTACCCAAATCACAATTTTAAAAAAAAAGAATGCTGATGGGATCTGGATTGGGATTATATTAAATGTATAGATTGCTTTGGGTAGTGTGGTGGTTACGTTTGTATGTCAACTTGGCTGGGCCTGGTTGAGTGATTGGGCAGCTGAATGTAGTTGTTCCCCATGATGAGACTAGTAATTAACTCCATAGTGGAATCTATTAGAGCCGCTGAGTAGCTGCTTAGGGTATGTGGTCTGCTTCCCATATATAAGAAACAGCTTTGGGCGTGGTCTCTAGCTTATGGCATGCTTGAATCCTGCATGTGCTGTGCTGTTGTTCAGCAACCTGCCATTCTCTGCTGACCTTGGGACTTACAATGGACTTGAATTAATGACCTGCTGTCTGGTTTGGTAACATTGGGACTGTGCTTTTTTACTTGGGCTTGTTAGCCTCAGCAGCCAGTAGCTGCCTGAGTGAAGAGATGCCTCTAGCTTCAGTGGGCTGGGAGCAAGAGACAGAGCTGAAGCCCAAGGTCAAGGGCCTTTAACATAGCCCCCAGAGCCTGGCACTTTGAACTTGGACTTAAAACCTCCAAATTGTAAGAATAAACTCGTTTGTTAAGGCAATCCCATTTGTGGTATATTCTTGTCAGAGTGACACTAGGTAACCAGAACAGGTAGTATTGCCATTTTCACAATGTTCAATCATCCTATCCATGAACATGGTATGTTCTTCCATTTATGTAGATCTCTTGTGGTTTCTGGGAGCTCTGGTGGCATAGTGCCTAAGGCACTTGACTGCTAACCAGAAAGCTGGCAGTTCAAATCCACCAGCCACTCCTTGGAAGGAAGGTTGGACAATCTACTTCCGTAGTGATACCACCTCAGAAACTGAAGGAGGAGTCACTATGAGTTGGATCCGACTTGACGGCAGTGAGTTTGGTTTGGTTTTGGTCTAATGGTTTATTGGAGTAGTGATTTGTAGTTTTCTTTGTACGGCTTTTTTGTGTCCCTAGTGAGATTTATTCCCAAGTATTTTATTTTTTTGGTAGATATTGTAAATGATATTGATTTCCTTATTTCCTTTTCAGCAATCTCTTTGCTAGTGTAGAGGAATCCAATTGAGTTTTGTATGTTGATCTTCTATTCTGCAACTACACTAAGTCTCTCAATTAGTTCTAGTAGTTTTTTTGCTGAGTCTCTTGGGTTTTCTATGTATAGGATCATATTGTCAGCAAATAGGGATAGTTTTACTTCTTCCTTACCAGTTTGGATCCCTTTGATTTCCCCTTCTTGCCTAATTGCCCTGGCTAGGACTTCCAATACAATGTCGAATAGAAGTAGTGATAGGGGGTATCCTTGTTTGGTTCCTGTTCACAAGGGGAATGGTTTTAGTCTCTCTCCATTGAGAATAATGTTGGCTGTTGGTTTTGCATATATGCCCTTTATTATGTTGAGGAATGTCCCTTCTATTCCTATTTTGCTGGGTTTTGATCAGGAATTGGTGTTGGATTTTATCAAATGCCTTTTTTGCATCGATTGATATGATCATGTGGTTCTTTTCCTTTGTTTGCAAGTGATAGATGATGTTAATTGCTTTTCTGATGTTGAACCATTCTTGCATACCTGGTATGAATCCACTTGGTCATAATTTATTTTTGATATGTTGTTGGAGTCTGTTGGCTAGGATTTTGTTGAAGATTTTTGCATCTATATTCATGAGGGATATCAGTCTGTAGTTATTCTTTTTAGTGATGTCTTTGCCTGGTTTTGATATCAAGGTTATGCTTGCTTTGTAAAATGAATTTGGGAGGATTCTATCCTTTTCCATGTTCTGCAATAGTTTGAGTAGGATTGGTGTCAGTTCTCTGAACATTCGGTAGAATTCGCCAGTGAAACTGTCTGGGCCAGAGCTTTTTTTGGTTGTTGGTAATTTTTTTATGACCTGTTTGACTTCTTCTTTTGTTATGGATCTGTTTAAATTTTCCATCTCAACCTCTGTTGGTTTAGGTGAGAAGTGTGTTTCTAGAAATCTGTCCATTTCTTCTAGATTTTCTAGTTTGTTGGAGTATAGTTCTTCATAGTATCTTGATATTATCCTTTTAATTTCTTTTGGTTCTGTTGTGGTGTCACCCAGTTCATTTCTTATTCTTGTTTTTTGTAGTCTCTCCCTCTTTTCCTTTGTTAAATTTGCCAGTGGCTTGTCAATCTTATTAATATTTTCAAAGAACCAACTTCTAATCTTGTTGATTTTTTTCTGTTGCCTTTGTATTTTCTGTTTCATTGATTTCTTCTTGAGTCCTTATTATTTCTTGTCTTCTGATGACTGTAGGCTTTTTTCCTGCTCTTTTTCTAATTGTTGGAGATGTTGGGTTAAGGTGTTGATTTTGGCTCTTTCTTCTTTTTTGATGTGTGCATTTATTGCTTACTATAAATTGGTCTCTGATCACTGTTTTTGCTGTGTCCCAAAGATTTTGGTATGTTGTATTTTCATTCTCATTTGATTCAAGGAATTTTTTAGGTTCATTTTTTTATTTCTTCTATTACCCAGTCATTTTCAAGGAAGGTGTTATTCAGTTTCCATGTGTTTGCTCTTTTTCCGTTCATCTTCCTTATGTTGGTTTCTAATTTGATGGCATTGTGATGTGAGAACATACTTTGCAGTATTTCAATGTTTTTAAATTTATTGGGGCTAGCTTTGTGGCCTAACATATGGTCTATCCTGGAGAATGTTCCATGTGCACTGGAAAAGAATGTATATTATGCTGTTGTTGGGTGAAGTGCTCTGGAGATGTCTATAAGGTCAAGTTGGGGGATTGTATTGTTTAGTTCTTCTGTGTCTTTGTTGAGTTTCTTTCCAGTTGTTCTATCTGTGATTGAAAGTGGTGTATAAAAGTCTCCTACTATGGAGTCATCTATTTGTCTTTTCAGTTCTGGTAGAGTCTGGTTTATGTATTTTGGGGCTCTTTCATTGGGTCCATAGATATTTAATATTGTTATGTCCTCTTGTTCAATCGATCCTTTAATAATCATTATATACTGTTCTTCTTTGTCTCTTATGGTGGTTTTTGTCTTAAAGTCAGTTGTATCAGAAATTAATATTGCCACTCCTGCTCTTTTATAGTTGCCATTTGATTGATATATCTTTTTCCAACCTTTTGATTTTTAGTCTATTTTTGTCTTTGTCTCTAAGGTGTGTCCCTTGTAGACAGCATATTGCTGGGTTATGTTTTCTTATCCAGTCTACAACATCTCTATCTCTTGAGTGGAGCATTTCATCCATTTGCATTCAGTGTAATTATTGACAAGTATGAATTTGTTGTCATTTTGTTATGTGCTTTTTCACGGTGTTGCTGATTTCTTTGTTCCATATAATTTTCTGTGCTGAGCTCATTTTGTTTATGAATTGTGTTATCACTTCCTTCATTGGTATTGTTTTAGTACTTGCTAAATATTTGTACTGGTCCTCTTCCTTATTTTGATGTGAGGGTTTATCATTTTTCCTTGAGGTTACCTTGTCATTTATAATTTTCTTCCCAAGGTTAGAACAGTCCATTCTATCTTGTAGTTCTTGTAGTTGTCTTGACTTCCCTACCATTTAGAAGTTCTATAACTACACAGTTCTTTCCCTCTTTTTGTTTTGTAGTTGTCATCATTTGTCAATTGATGTCTCTGGTTCCCTGTTTACAATCTTGTAGGCTTATTTACTTTGGATACTTCCATAACTTTGTTGGTTTCTGGTGTGTTAATGATCAGTTGTTGTTTGCTGTTGTTGGTTCTCTATCCAAAGGACTCCCTTTAGCATCTCTTGTAAGGTTGGTCTGGTTTTAACAAATTCCCTTAATTTCTGCTTATCTGGAAATGTCCTAATTTCACCAACACATTTGAGGGACAATTTTGCTGTGTATTTAATTCTTAGCTGGAAATTTTTTTCTTTCAGGGTTTTATATATACCATCCCATTGTCTTCTTGCCTGCATGGTTTCTGTCGAGAAATCTGAGCTTAGTCTTATTGATTGCCCCTTGTAGGTAACTTTTCATTTTTCCCATGCTGCTTTCTGGATTCTTTCTTTGTCTTTGGTTGTAGTGAGTTTGATGATGATATGTCTTGGTGATTTTCTTTTGGGGTCTATCCTGTTTGGGGTTCATTGGACTTCTTGAGTGGATATATTCTCATCTTTCATTGTACCAGGGAAATTCTCTTCCAACAAATCTTCAACAATTTTCTCCGTGGTTTTATTTGTCTCTTCTTGTTCTGGAATTCCAATTACATGTAGGTTATTCCTTTTGATGGTATCCCACATGAATCTTAGGCTTTCTTCATTTTGCTTTGATCTTTTTTCTGATTGATCCCTTTCCAAAGAAGGAATGTGTTATTTATTTCTGTGAATTTAGTGTTAATCTTCTGGAATTCTATCTGTAGCTTTTGTATAATTTCTAATTTTTCATTTATTTTGTTATTTTGTTCTTATCTTTTCTTTCAAAATTGTTCTAGGGTCTTCTCTGTGTTTTCCTGCATTTTGTCAGTGTTTTCCTTGATCTGTCTTTCAATCTGTTGACTGTTAGATATAATTCTTTTGAATTCCTTACCAGGGAGTTCCAATGCTGCTTCCTTCTTGGGGATGTGTTCCAGGTCTGTATCCTGGTTCCTTATTTCTCCTGCTTTACCTTTCTTCTTTGTGTGGACTGTGATGCTCTATTGTCTTTGAGACATTGTGACATTTTTTTGTTTATATTTAATTGGTAATTGTATGTTGGAGTGATTATCCCAACATTTTCGCTTTCTTTGTTTGGTTTAGATGTTATGTACATAAACAGAGTACTGTGCTCCTCTGTTTGCTAGTTGGCAGCACTTACACACTCGCTGCCTGTCTCCTTTCTCATTGTCAGCCTCCTGTGTGTCCCGCTGTCCTTGGCAAGTCAGGCTGTTCTTAGGTCCCTAGAATCTGAATGAGAATGCTGTCACTTTAAATATCCAAAATGGCCACCCCTTGCAAACATTCAAAATAGTTGCACCCTCAGTCACTTTAAATATCCAAAATAGCTGCCACTAGTAAACAATCAAAATGGCTGCACTCTCCAGACAGCCAAAAGTCCACAGCTCAGGTTGTCTCCCTCTTTGCTATTTCCCTTCCTAGTCATCAGCCACCAGTGCAGTTGTCCTTGCAGCCCTTGGCGACCAGGGCTGATCTTTAGGTCAATTTTCATGTCTCAATACCACTTGGAAATATTCAGGCTGTTGGTGCCATCAGACTAGCTGTCAGTCTGCAGCTCCATCCACCTCCGTACTCACTGTTTTCATTCTGGTTCTTCCACTAGTTAGTGCCTAATCCACTTCTGTATACTTCCTTTCAGAACTTAGTGCTCCAGGATTATCTTCTGTATCTCTGTCAATTGGTTTCTCTTTTCTTTACTGAAGAGGGTCTGTGTAGTTTGTCTGTCTATTCTGCCATCTTACTGGAAGTCTATGGCTCACAAACTTATGGTGCTAAGGGCAATGCTTGCCATCACTTTGTGGTTTGTTTTTGAAATTATAATGCTTCATGTTTGGAGTACTTGCTTCCCTTCATTCACAGGCGTGGCACCATCTGCTGAGCCCTTCTTTGGTCCACATTTTCAGCCTTTTGGGGGCTAAATATAAGGGAAATACAGCTTCCATACAATTTTTGTTACTGTTGATAAAATTATTCTTAAAGTAAGAAATTTTAAGTTTGATTCCTATAGTACTTCTCCCTATGTTTAAAACCATTGATAAATAACTCTGTTAAAAATACACATGCATACAGTCCCCTAAGTAGCAGGAAGCACTTGAGCAACAAATTTATACATGATGTTACTCATTCATAACTTAATCAAACCCCACTCTCTTCAGTGCTGACCCATGTGACTATTTTCTCCTCAGTTTCAGTTAGGCTGACTTATTTCCTGAGGACAACACATGCCCAAGTTTTCAAGGATTGTCATATTATGATCAGGATATGTGATTTCTTAGGCATTTGATTGACTCACTCCTATACCTCTACTAGGTGCTACTGAGTCAACTATATTTCTTTACATTTATACATTCAAGTTTATATAAGGATATACACTTAAAAACTCAAATACTAATTTGAAAAATTTCAACCTACAAATGAACATAATCTAGTACTATGGTTTATTTTCCTCTTAAAGCTGAGGAACCATGAAACAAATGCTTGGAAAATTAAATATTGATCAAGGCACTCCTGTGTAATTAGGGGGTCCACCAATGTCAGCATCCAACAATAATTGGTTAATGCTATTTTTATCTTATTTCATATTTTTTAAAATGTGTTTCCTGGAGAATGGGAGAATGAGTATGTCTTATTCTTCTCTGAAGAGAGAACGCAATGAATATGGGTGAGGTGGGTACACAATACAATGGCACATATTTATCTATGCTCTAGTCTTTAGTGTAAATTGCAGATAAGTCTTACCTTAAAACCCAATCTGACAGAACAAGTTATTTTCTCTGAAATATGGTCCATTTATTAGCCTTCAGTCATGATGGAACTCAGAGACAAATGTGATCCTTTTGCATTTTGATATAAACCCCACATAGGAGGAAATTATACAACTGCTACTTCTCCTTCCACAAAATTGAGCATCAGCCTGCTGACAGATGACAGATCATTAGAAACATCAACTCGAGAACGAAGGCAAGTTTATGACCAAGAGTGAGTGTTTTAATTTTATTAGGATGGTTTGTTAATGTTTTCCTTTGTTACCCATCAAGTTATAATTTTTAAAACATCACAGTGTTGTTTTCTTAGTTCTTTAGATATGTCTTCAGCATACTGGCTCAAGACCCATGGCTTGGTGGCCAAGAAACTTACCATCATGGATGCCTTGTCAGTGACAGCAATCCCTCACAGTGCCACCTACGTTCCAATTCTGGACAAGCATGTTGTTTCCAAGGTCTTTGATGAGGTAAGAGTAATTTCGCTGACTGAGGAATTGTTCATCTTCTGCTCAAATGAAAAGTACTTCAGTTCTATTTCTTGTACATTTACAACAGAATATATTTCAGTCATTGAAAAAAATATATTTATAAGGTCAGTAAAAGAGAGAAAGACTCAAAGCATTTTTTTTAAGCTGAGATGAAACTGGCCTTCATTGAGGTGGCAGTTCATGGTTTATTGCTGACATGTGGCAGTATGGAGCTACTCGTTTCTGTGAAAAATATCTAAATCTGAGTCATGATCAATCATCCAGTACCAAAGGACCAGTGAACTTGTGAGAGGCTGAAAAAGTCAGAGAGAGAAAAAAAGACAGAAAGAGAGAGAAACAACAGAGAGTGATGTCCAAGAAGGAGAAAAAGTGCTTCCAGGAGGATGTGGTAGGATTAAATATGGAAAAAAGTCAAATAAGTACTGAAAAGTTTCCATTGCATTTGGCAGCTAACAGGTCAGTGTCCTTCACAAGAACAATGAGGCAAGTGTAACAGTAACTAGTGATTTAAATACGAACACATCAGGCTTTATAATCACAAAACAGGATAGATATCAGTTTATTATAATTTATCGCCTTCATACAGAAATATTTACAGAGCAAATGATAGAATGTTTGACATTTGCTTCAAAATAACCTGGGTTATGGGAGTGGGGAGGGTATAAAGGAAACAGGATTGGCCAGAGGTTGGTAACTGTTGAAATTCAATAATAAAAACATGGGAATGGGAGATCCGGCAAGATGGCGGACTAGGCAGAAAGACTGCACAGACCCTCTTCAACAAAGAAAAGGGAAACCAATTAACAACGACACAGAAGATAATCCTGGACCCCTGAGCCTGGAAGGGAAGGATATACAAGTGGACTAGACCCCAACTAGCAGAAGAATTTGCGTGAAAATACCAAAAAAGGAGACAGACGGAGCTGTGGTCTGGCAGTGATCCTGAGCGATCCTGAAAGCACAGACAGCTTGGAGATTCCCGAATGGTGGTAGGACTTAAGAATTAACCTAAAAATCACCCTGCTAGCCAGGGACTGCATGGAGGACTGTGCATGGTGGCTGGGGAACAAACAGAGGTGAAGAGAAAGGTAGGCTGAGCTGTGGACTTTTGCTGGTCCAGAGGGTGCCGCCATTTTGAAGGTTTAAAAAGCGGCTTGACTATTTTGGATATTTAAAGAGACAGTGCT